GGTGTTACATGAGTCCATTAATACACTAATAAAGTTTGCCCATGGAATATTATTATCTTCAATAGTATTAACAACTGCTTTAAAAACAGTTTCTGAATTGCAAGATTCCATCTTTAGAGATGCAAAATGATGAACTACAACTTCATTTTGATTGTTGTTATAAAACTGCACCAATATTGCCAGTATACTTTCTTGAGCATTGCTAGTACTTTCATCCAAATTTAGAGAAAATGGAGTCTCCTTTAAAGTTTTAATGCTATTTTCCTTAATAGTTTTTGCGAGCCCATATTTCATCTTATAACATGCAGTAGTCCTGGACATTTCCAACGAGTTTAGTGCCGTCTGATCGCGGCTCAACTGTTTGCAGAGTTCAATTAAATTGGGAGCTACATTGAAAGAAAGAGAATTCTTGGCGATAAACGAAGTTAGTAATACCTCTTGGCGTGCTTTTCTTGTCATTATATCCAATGGCCGAGCATCAGTCTCCAGTAAGTCATCAGTATTTTTTGAATTAGCATAATTACTTAAAGTCATTGAATGTCTAATGCACTTTGAATATTTTATGTGCATCACAGTTTTAGAATGATTTGTGAAAGCCTTGAATCCTTCCCCACCATACTTCAGCAGTGAGCTACAGAAAAACACAATATGCTTGTCCAGCAACATTTATTTTCTTGCACCATGTGCCGATGGTATCCCCATTATCATCTCTCCGTTCAATCCAATTCCACCTAAATGCATTCCAGACACCTTCTTTTAATTGTATAATATCACTATTTATATCGAGAAATTTCATAGTGAAATTCTCTTGCGTACATAAATAAAAAAATATTTCAATAAACGAAACGAAAAATTTACACGTGCATCAATAAATGAAACGAAAATTTTACACAGCAGAGAAAAAAAAGTTGAGAAGCAATCAATGACAAATAGCTAATACGGCGAAAAAACTCCCTTCTCTACTTATTGGCACCATGCCAGGAGAGATAAGACCTTTGAACCCAGAGTCACGTGATTGCACATCTGGTCAAACGAAGTCTCTCCCTTTTTTTTTCTGCCGCGCCTACTTGCCGAAGAGAATGTCCGAGAACCGGGGGAATGAGTCATAACTCGCAATAAGGAAAGAACAAAAAAGAAGCTTTTTTTTCTCCCCCTTTTCACGCATTATCACTGCCTTTGGAGAAAGAAAGGTAAAAGTTTTCACCACACACACTGACCTTCGTTTTCTCTGCTTTCAAAGCAAACAAAATTACCCCAGATCAAAATAAATAATTCATTATTATTCCTACTTCCTTTTGAACGACGATCCCCGGAATTTCAGGGTATCGAAGTTCAAAATCCCCAGAGCACAAACACCCCTGTTATACCGTCCGTTATACATTAAATGCGCATGCGCACACACATATTTGCAGCCGTAAAGGTCTTACGCGTACGCGTAAACGCCTATGCGCATGCGTCTATTTGACGCATGCGCAGAAAGTTTGTAGCTTTAAAGTCCGTATTATAGATCATTCCGGATTATGGGTGTCCGAATTAACGACTTTTGACTGTAATACTCATAGGTCAAAAGATTACATTTAGTGCTAGTTGAATTAAAAACTGATTTGTTATTTACATTAACCCAGAACGAACACTAGGGCTCACATGGCTGCACTGGAGGGCAGAATTTAGGGAAGACAAAGGCAGGAACTTGGTAGCAGAATTTAGAACCCACCGAGACTGCATCAGGCAGTAAGATAACAAACCCTTAATAAGCCTCAAGTATATGTGGAAATTTATTTATTCAGGACTCGGATAAGCCTTAAGCATATCCAAGGAATAGACAAACATATAATAAATAACTAAATAATACAATTCAGGCTTTATTGTCTCAGTGTGCGATAGAAGCAAAATAAAATTTAGCAGAACAACTTGTCGTTAGTCGCCAATCTCATGATACTTAGCCAAATATGTATAGTGAAAGATAGCTAAATTTTATGATGATAGCAGTGAATTTTAAAAGGTTTTTGGATAATGCAAACCAAAGGTGAAATTTTCCAATTAACGGATTTTGTAAAGAAATGTGGAGAAGCGGTAATAAATAAAGATGATATAAAAGAAGTTTTTGATTGAGATGACAATGCTCCTCAATCATCAATCAATTAATCGATGGCAAAATCTGTAGTATAGTTCTAGATCCAGAAAATATCACTACCGATAATGAAAATGAGAGAGGTTACTGGAAACAAAAAAATTTCGATTAACGAGTTAGTCGGAATTCTTGACACAGTAATTACAGGATTTCAACAATGTTAACTGAGCAAGAAATTACGCCTGTCTACAGAATTAAAGTGAAATTATTAGCACAAATTCGAAGCACCTTAAACAACTTACGTTGAAAGAAATGTTTATAAAATAAATAACTAAAGATTTTTTTTTTGCAAATTTTGATATCCTTTAGATCATAAATACTTCATTATTTCATAAATCCCGATTTAACATTTTTAATTTTAAATTTTCTAAATATCATCTTACTAGATTTAAACTGATGATATATCTGAAAAATCCCAAATCTGAAATCGCAGAAGTCCCGGCGAGTCTGGATCTCGGACGTTGCACTGTACAAATATTAAGTGATTAAACATTATTGAAGAAGTCAAGCAACAAGAATCAGCATAATATTTGTAATTTTTGCAGAACTAGTTTTGATGATTTAACTGCAAAACCAACTTCTTCAGTTGTCTAAATGCAAATGAATGACATATGATAATAAGATAAGAATGGCTGGACAGCAGTTAAGCTGTTGATGCCATCTATTCATGAAATAAGAAAACTAAAATAGAATTTCCTTAAAGGTTGAAGGTAAAACTGGATTGGATGTAGGGTTGTTAAATTAAGCAGAACAGAAAGTTTTTTTTTTTTTTTTTTTTTTTTAAGTGAAACACTTCTAGAAAATCTAATTCACTAATGAAAGTTGTTTTTTGAATAATTTTGCTGCAGAAAAATGGAAAGCATGATTTTCAGACCAACAGTGCTAGGCAACAGAGGATTTCTGTGTTTCCTTTTTCCTAACCTATCCTATGTTCTTTAACCCAGAATTTTAAAGCTCTCTTAGTTTGACCAATGTAAATTAAAACCATTGGTAAGGAATCCTGCAAATACCCCAGGAATTCATATTCGAAATGGGGTCCTTCAGAATGGAATTGGGAATTTTATTGCTAGGATTACAAATGACCAGAGATAAAATTTCTGTAAAATATGTGGAATTTTATAGCTAATCCAGGGAAAGAAAGAAATAACAACATAATTCATAGAATCTGCTAAAATGAGTGTGTGCCTTTTGATGCGTTGAGATCAGGATTTTTAACCGCTTGGTTAATGATACTGGGTGAAAAACCCCTGCCAATAGCAACTGCTTTTAAATAATTTAGTTCTTGATCAAGAGTCAATTTGAAGGAGCAAACTTAAGTGCACAAAAAAAAAACAAAAGAATAAAATGAATATAACTTCTATTTAATCGGATGGCATGATTTAAAGTGTAGTGGAAGGCAAACCGATGAAAGTTTACAGTAAACAGTAGTACTGAAGTTGGATACGTTACATGTGATGACCAAAGTGTCGAGTAATGGAACAGAATTGGATGACTGAAGTTCAAAAGAGAACTGAATAGCAGGATCAATAGAATTTATTATTAAAAGAATTTTATTTAAATCATCTTTATTACTGCCAATCAGGGTAATAAAGTATCATCTATATATTCCATATGCCTAAAGAAAAAAGATTGCTTCTGCTTTGTTTCTCAGTATATCTACTATATGCCTTTGGAGAATGCAATAAAGAAATTTATTGATATTTTCATACACAAAGAAGAAGGAGTACCAAGAAAAGATTGACACAAAGCAGATACGTACTTGCTCTGACAAGTCTAAAACTGATATTAAAATTAAACTAAAAGTCATTTTGATTCCCTCTGTGCATTCTAGGATGGGGGAATGTTTCCCAAATCTGACAAGGAAGCTAAGGTCAGAATGTATCATTAGCAGTATTGGCTAATACCCAAATAGCATTTATAAAATACGACGACAAAAAAGGTTCAGATGGTCACTATGTGAAGCGTTTAATCAGAAAGAGTACCTGGTTTGAAAAAAGTCATTTGAGTATGATTGATATTTTGATTTTTACATGGCTGTGGGTGTACGAAGTGAACTCGAAAATCATGGTAAGTGAATATTTGCTTTTGGTAGTGCTTAAATGTATAACATGTTTTTCCTTCTTTATGTTATTTTATCGTTTGGTTTAAAATATATTTTATTGAGATTATGTATTTTTTGTTTGCCTATATTGTAGAATTTGGTGCTCCTTTGACGTTTTAAGTCAAAATATATCGATGTGTACATGGGCAAAGTAAAGGGAGAGCACAATGCAAGTTTGTGCAATTCTGGGATTTTTTTTTAAAGTGAAAATAGGTTGAAATGTACATGGATAACGTCAAAGGAGTGTGCAATGCCATTTTTGTGCAATTTTTTTTTTTTTTTTTAAGTGAAACTAAGTCGATGTGTACATGGATACCGAGTTCGTGCAATTGTTTGCCTTGTTATTTTGGCTACGTGTAGCGGCGATTTTTTGCGCCAAAAATCGCCGCTTTGCAAGCCAAAATAACGAACCAAAGAACTGCACAAAATCGGTATCCATGTACTGCCAAAAATCGCCAAGGGGTACCCTAAACTATACTTTTAACTCTATAACTTATATCAGCGTGGTCCAACCCATGCCTTGCAGGCCACATGCGTTCCTCTTATTCATTTTGTTGGCATTTGCTCTTCTTACTGGAAAAAAAAAAAAATGTTAGTTAAACATTTGGAAAAACAAAAGACCCTTTTTACTGCTTTAAGTAATAAATATATACAATTATTATATTAAATAATATTTAAATATAATAATTAAACAATAAAAATTATAAGGCTCAATGAGACAATGAAAACTGTTGTAAATATTGTAAATTCAATAAGGGGAGTCAAAGCTTGGAGACACAGCATTTATTTGCATTTGTGGACAATGTGGATGCTGAGCATGATGACATTTCATTGTACTGTTAAGTGCACTGGCTCAGTGCTGGAAATTGTCTGCAACAGGTTTTTGGGTTGAGGAATGGAATTCTTGCTTTCCTCTAAAAAGAAAGCTTACACAGGCATGAGTATCAAGACAAATTGAAAGAAATCCAGTTTTTAACTAATCTTGATTTTCTGAAAGCTTCAACATTCCATCTAAATGCTTTAAACTTGAAACTACAAGGCAGAAAACAAAATATATCCCAGCTTTATGGCTTTTTCAAAAAACTTTATGTAACGCAAATTGCACTGAAGGCAAATGATATGGCACACTTCCCATTTTTTTAGCATCTGAAAGAAGAAAATGACATAAATATTAATATGTTTCATGAAATAATTACTGATATCAAGAAAGAGTTCCAGGACAGATTTCAGGATCTTAACTGCCTAAAAACAAAACTTTCATTGTTAAACCCCACAAGATTGAAGTAAACGAGGTGCCTTGCAACCTTCAAATGAAAATTTTTGACCTTCAGAGCATCCTTTTCCATGTACACGGCGATCTATTTTCATTTAAAAAAAATCAGGAAGCTAAAACAAAGTTAAAACTATCATGGTAAGTAGAAATGGGGTTTCATCGCCAAAATTTGTCACTAATCAAAGGGGCCCCCAGTTCTACACTAGAGCCATCAAATCTTGCAAACTCATAGCCCTCATATATCTTGTTGTATTTGAATAAACAAATTCTCTCCTTCAAGTCTAAATATAATAAATCATTTTATACATATAATGTGTTTTATAAATCACCTCTGTGAAATTCCTCTCCTGTGGAAACACGCAAATGTTCCAATAAATCATTCTTCTTTTTGAATGATATATTACATACATCGCACGTGTGCTTTTCCTCTTTATGGTTAAGCATGTGCTCCATGAAATTCTGCTTTCGAGCAAATGACTTACTGCATATAAAACATATATACGATGTGTTTTCTGTGTGAATACGTAAATGCTGCTTAAATTCATGCTTTTGGATGAATGACTCATCACATATATCACATATATATTTTCCCCGTTTATGGATAAGTACATGTTCTGCTAGAGTCTGTTTACGTACAAATGTCTTTTTACACACATCACATGAAAATGGTTTCTCCCCTGAATGAACATACATGTGTGTCTTTAAAACATGTTTCTGTGTAAATGACTTGCCACAGACCTCACATGCATAAGGTTTTTCTCCTGTGTGAATACGCAAATGTAATTGCAACAGAGAGGTTTGTGTAAATGACTTATTGCACACAGCACACACATAGGGCTTTTCTCCTGTATGGACATAGATATGTCTTTCTAAATTCCACTTTAAGGCAAATGTTTTGTGACATGTATCACATGAATATGGTTTCTCTCCTGAGTGAGTACGTGCATGAGACACCAAATAGTCTTTTCGTGTGAAAAACGTATTACAGATCTTACATCCATAAGGTTTCTTTCCTGTATGAATAAGCAAATGTTTTCGTAAATATGACTTTTCCGTAAACGACCTGCCGCATACGTCACATACATGAAGTTTCTCATCTGCATGTGCAAGCATAATATGTTGTTTTAAATTACGTTTCTTAGGAAATGATATAGCACAAATCTGACAGGCATAACGTCTTTCCATGGCTCGTATATCGATATGCATCCGCTAAAAAAGATGTATGTGTAAACGAATTGTTACACAGATTATAACGGCTGCCTTCTCATTTATATATTATTATTTTCTTGAATGACATGTGACCTACAGTTCTGAAAGTAAAGACATGCTGATTTATAAAACATGCTTTTTATACTATTACGTCAGAAATAGTAATAAAGCCATAAAATATTTTGTTTTGA